AGAGGTCAGCCCCACTTGGGGCAGACCCCAAGCCCATCCCAGAGACTTAGACACCCACAACCCCCATGTCTCCTCCCTGCACCCTGCTGGCAATCACCTGTCCTGGGCAGGCCAGGAGCCAGCCAACACCATCCCTGTGGGATGGGCACTCCCCACGCTGGGCTCTCTTGGGGCAGCAACACCAAACCTGCCAGGAAAGCAAATTCAAGAGGAACTTGGAGGGGAATTGAGTTTCTTTCATCCATCTCTTGTTCCCATGGACATACCAGCATAGGCAGTGATGGCCTAAACAAAACAGTGGTCCTGCTGCTGGCAAAAGGAGCCTCATGTCTCCCAGTGCTGCCGGGGATCTCCCAGCACTGCCAGCCCTGGGTTCCAGCATTTCCTAAGACTTGATTCGATTCATAGAATCATGGAATCATTCAGATTGGAAAAGACCTCTAAGATCATCAAGTCCAACCATTAACCCAGTACCACCATGTTCATTGCTAAACCAAGTCCCCAAGTGCCACATCCACACATTTGCACAGTCCTTCCCTCCTGCTTTTTGGCAGGGAGCTGGCAGCAGGACCTGACCCCTCCTGAGGTGCCAACAGAAACTTTGCACCCCAAAACAACTTTATTGGCATTGTGTGGGATCACATGAGCTCTTCCAACCCTCACACCAAACCGCTGCCCCCAGCCTTGAGGGCAAAGCTCTGCTCTGCTCCCCAAACACCCTCTCCATGGGACGACCTCTGGCCAGCTTTGTCACACAAAAAACAAATCTGGTTTGCTTTTTTTATTGCACATGACTGGGTGATTTCCCCAGGTCATGCAAGCCCCAGAGCCTTGTGCCAGGAGGAAGTGCTGTCTCTGTGGGGACGTGGCAGGAGCAGAGTGAGTGCACCTGGAGCTGATGAAACACCTTATCTGGAGAGACCTGGGCGACGTGGCACAGCCGGAGGGGACAGGTCCCCGCCTGTTCCCCCCTGCAGCTGCAGCCCCACAAACAGCCACGTTCCTGGAGGCAGCAGGGCTGAAACTCAAAAGCAAGAGCAGGGGCCCAGAATAGCCCAGCCCAGGCTGGGGGGAGCGGGGCAGAGCCAGACCCACTGGGGCGGCCGTGGGGGGGGATGGCACAGTCCTCTCGCTTTGGTCCTGCAGTTGTGCCAAGCTCCATGGCCTCTGCCCTGCCTGAGCTGGGGGTGCAGCCCTCAGGAACCTGCAGGGGCAGCTGGTGGTTCCTGCACCCCATCCTGACATTCCCCCCGCTCACGTAGCCGCCTGCCCTGAAAGACTCGGGGAAAGGCTGTTCAGAGCCCAGGCTGTGCCACGCCAGCACTGCCCCCCTATTTCCCCCCAAAGCCAGCCTCACCGTGCAGCTGGGTGGCTGTGGGGCATCCCCTGGCTAAATTTATCCCTCACCCACTACAGTCCCCAATCAGAAATTTGAAAGGGTGCCCCAAAAAGGGAAGTGAAACTGTCTCCAGTGGGTGCTGACGTGTGAAGAGAAGCAAGCACCACACCCTGACTTGGCTCAGCCTAAGATGGTGGCAGCTCTTGCCTCTGCCTTGCCAGGCTGTCACCTTGCAAGGCCATCACCTTGTGGGGCCGTCAGTCCCTGAGGTGGGGAGAGAGGTCTTGGGCTGGCCTGATGCTGCCCAAAATGGGCAGGGTGGGTGGTGGTGGTGGTGGTGAACCAGCTGGATGGTGGACTCACTGGGGGCCACTGCCAAGGCTAGTGGGACTCTGTGCCATGGCAAGGTGTGTGTTCACAGCCTGGGTGACCCCTGAAGGGTCTCTGGCAGGACCCCCAGTGGGGTCTTGCCTAACAGGGTGGTCCCTGCCCCAGTGTGGGATGTCCCAGCTGCTGCACATGCTCACACATATATGCACACACACACACACACACACACACCCTCCAGTGATCCCAGTGCATCCAGGCCCACCAGGCTGGGCACCACTGACCCCTCACCTGTGGGGTTTGGGGCCAGGGGAGACAATGACACTGCTCCCATCATACCCTTCTCACCCTGGGCCACCACCACAGGGGGACCAGCCTGAGGCTTCCTGCTGCTACCCTGCTGCCAGGTCACCCTGAATCCTCTCTCATTA